AGAGCCCAGATTGTGCGGTGTTATACAGCTGTCTTTTGTTCACGAACCTGGCTTAGTGCACTGCTGACCTCTTTTCAATAGGGGCCAGATTAGCATGCAGCGGTGCTGTGTGGCTCATCGCTGTGGTGGTGGAGCGCTTTTGTCCCCGGTGGTAAACCACTTGCTGTCAATGCCCCAAACCCTGGTATACGGTTTCAAAACGACGCTGGATTATCACCACTTTTGAGAGTGAAAAATGCCGGTAATGCCCAGCAGCCTGGTCTTTTGTTAAGAGTGGGGTCTTTTGTTACAGAGCCCTGTTTCCCTTGACCGAGTTCGGAGACCCCGGCCACGCATATAAACCATACAGCTCCGATTTCGGAGTCCCCGGCAGGTAGTGGTTAAAGTATTTTCTGATGGAGACAATTTTTCAATGGAAATACCACTCTTTCAAACACTATGGTAAGACACCTAAGGTACTTTTTCTTATTGGTAATATTGTACTGTCCATGACCAGCACAAAAATACATACAAGAAGAAAAATCAAAGCCAAGTTACATCCAAACTGAAGTATGGAAGGAGCCACGCAACGACAGCAGAACGAGCTGTCAATTCGTGAAATGAAGTCACAAGAGGGCGCAATGGAAATCAGCGCGCACGGCATATTGTACAGTGTATGCTCAATTGAGTCAACTATCGAGTTCTGCCATCTTGGCTCAAGACTACTAGCAAGGAAGTCCAAGTAACTTGGACCCTACTTACATGTATCACATTTTTAACATTTGGACTTGATCTAGCAATAGTACGGTCCTAGCAGAGTACCAGTTTCATTCATAAATCACAGGCACCATGCAGCAATAGCAAGCAGCGTAACAAAAATACATTAAAAAGAGCAAAATGCACAGAGATTAACATGTCTGAAATGTTCTGAAATATAGTTTAAATATTTATACTTACCTGTGGTAAAAACAGCTCATACCCCTTAAACTTTCCAATGCACTCACTGTAGGATAGGGATCAACCAATGTACGTGCAGGTTTTAACTGCCGATCCGATGTTTTAATTGGAACATCGGCCGATGTCTGATCCGATGTGTTTACTGACAATAACTGAAAATGCAACCTTAACAGGATGTATAGGCCTGCTCATAACAAAACAAAACTGTCACTGAGTTGCGAGAATTGTGTACATCACATCGCTGCTTGCACGATACCGATAGTGCTCCCTTGTATGCAAACCCAACGCACGCAGTACATACATGTGCAGTATATGCAGAATGGACACACAGCACCTTGGGCTGAATCACGGCTAGCCTTTAGTCAAGGTGCGCGTGGCACCAGTGCACTATGCTCGGCTTGCGGCTTTGTTGTGATACTTTATGTGGGTTTAACCATGGTATAACTGTTCATTTATCTTACTAAATGAAAACACAGTTTTTATTCAAGCTAAAAAAATGACATTTGTGTCTGCCAAAACTGAGTGCAGCGTTTGTTCCTTCAATTTAATGTCGGCACTCATATCGGCAATGAGGGTTAAATTTTGCTGATCCAATGTTTTGTCGATGTTGCCAAACATCGGTCTGATACGATGTCTGATCCGATCATCGGTTGATCCCTGCTGAAGGATTCAGTGGGAATTGGAGATGGGGGTAAAGTTTACTTTACGAGCTATTTTGAGTGCAATCAATTTATGGAGAGGGTAGCCTACGGTAGGTTCTAGGACTCTACAATTGATGACCATGTCCAAATGTTAAAAGAGACGATTCATTACCCCCAGAACTGTGGGGTCCGATATCTGCCCCGCTCCCATGGGAGCAGGGTGGACGTCAGACCCCACTGTTCTGGGGGTAATGATTCATAATCAAAGAGTCTTCATGGTCTTAGTTACTCAGAATAAGCATCTGTCACATTCACTTGTCTTCAGTGAGATTAGGCCTAATATGATTTGGTCACATACATGTACACGACATAGGCCTATCATAAAAGTTGATATTAAGACATGTAAGAGCTTGGGGCATTTTGAAAAAGAAACACAAAAATTGAACAGCCTGACCGAGGTAAAAGAACATGCAGTTGTATGGAAGCACGTGGCAGAGGGACATCTTGTACATGTATATCCAAGATTTTCTCATATTTGTTTTAGCCGTCTCGATGGCTGTTCCATGTCAACAATCTAAACTGCTGCCAAAGTTTTGGAAGAGCCCATTGGCACATGTACATGTAGTATCTTATCGCTCAGTCCTTCTATTAGATATGTCTTGACATGGAACAGCTGTTGAGACGATGAAGGGTCAAGTGACGTAATTTTTCAACGATGTTATTTTAAAGGTGGTGACTGTGAGAGTGAATCCGTGAGATTGAATGGGTGAAGGCAAAAATACTGGAAAATACCAGAACAGCGTGAATGAACTCATTCAATAAATGGCACTAAGAAAGCGAAGAGGCTAAGGATCATCTCTGCGTGCAAAAGAAATTGCGCCCACGATAAGTGGGTACGCTGAAAATTTCAGAATGCCGACACAAAATTGCGTATACGGATGTGTGGCTACGGATGGAGCGGGAGTGAGAGTCTGCACCACACTGGTGAGGCTAAATTAATTTGTTCAAACATGTCAAAAATGTCAAACTACATGATGAACAAATCATTATATGGTCTGAACGGTTGAAGAGTCTGCGTCGATAAAACCTGCCCCACAGGACAAATTTGGGGTGACACAAAACCTTGGTAACAAGCAACTCTAGATTTTAAGTTACACAGCCATGACAGCGAGTGCCCGGTATAGGCAATCTGGCATCGTAGCCTGCCTGCCTAGTAATAGTACTCAACGCTGAGCCGGCGCAGCAAAGCAAAACAAAACAGTGTTGCATCATCCGTCTTTGAAGTAATCCACAGCTACGTCTTAGCCAATTCGTTAAATAATTCTTATTCAAAGGCTGATAAAACGTCACAGAATTATTCTATCGGAAAATATGAGAAATATTGCCATTTCTTACCATTTTGTGTAAGCATGTTTCTACCGACAAGTTGTCAGCATCATGTGATTACACAATTACAACATTGTATAGCAACATTATATGTCTTTTTCTTTCAATTTGAAATAAATAACATCTATTCACTATAAAATGTATTTTCTTAAAAATATATTTAATAGTTTATAAAAATCTATCAAATATGTAGATTTTTCATCAAAAGACTACTATAATCTATAATAAATTGAAAGAGGATAATAGTATATGATGCATATTCATGTTTACGATATTATAATAATTTCAAAGAAGTCCAAAAAGTACGAAAGCCCTGTGGTGCCATCAAGTCGTATACATTTTCAAAAAGTGTAGTATGGCTATAATATATCATATAACTATAAAAACTATAGCGCTAACTTCTCATTCTCTGCTCTGAGAAAATTTGACGCCGTCCTGGGCAAAGATTATATGGCGCCGCATAGCGGCGCAAGACGGGTAATTCGGCCATAAAGGTGTTATTACCATGGGCGCCATCGAGTGTGAACGTTAAATGTGTGTGTTAGCCTGTCGTGGCGCCGCCTGCACCTGCGCATTAACATGCACTGCGCAGGCGTAGTCCAACCAGAATGGCGCCTATGTGATAACAACGTTTTACGCGTATACACGGTGAAGTTCCCCATCTTGCGCCGCTACGCGGCGCTATACAATCTTTGGTTTTGGGTGCAGACGTTTTGAATCTGTGTGCGTGCCTGTAGAGCGTGCAAAACCAGATAGAATGGATATCGAATTATGTATTCTAAATGCAACGCTCAAGTACAACATACGCGTATGTCACCGCGTCTTTTTAATAAGACGCACACTAAAGAGACATATAGACAAAACAAGACATATAGAGTTCCGAATGTGACGTCACTGTGAACCGGAAAGTGCAGTGCAAACGAATGGAGTACGCGCTCGTTGGTTGACGCGCTGGTTCTCGCACTAATGCCTTTTACACACTAATTGTGCGTGTGACGTATTCACTTCGGTACTCTATTGACAACCAAAGCCGATTATTTTAAAACTAATGTTTCCCTAACATTCAAGCAAGGTCGTCCGATTTCATATGCATGTCTTTCGATGACTGTCTGTCGATGAATAAGTTCAGCTAAATTTAAAGGTCGTTCCCTTAATTCAGTCAGTGTTAAGTGAGTTGACGGCTCTGGAGCAGCAGCTGTCGTGCGCATCAGGTACCTGTAAAATCCGATTAAAAAAAACGTCACGGCAAAATTCATGTCCAGCGCCAACGCTCACACGTTTGTGCCGTTTTTTTTTTTGGGGGGGGGTGTTGCAGAGCTAAAATAATGAAACGCGCATTTACTGATTGTGCGTTCAGGTTGTTTGTGTACCGGGGTTGTTGACGTATCGTTTAAGAATACGGACCCAGATAATTATGCAAACAGCCTTACCGTACAAAAGCCGTCCAAAATAATTTCGAGTTTTCCATAGGTTTGTGCACAAACATGGATGCGCCCAGCAGGCATCAATTTGTACATGAATCAGCGCTCTAGTTTTTATATATAGCTCTGTGGGCGATATCAAATTACTAGAGCCCCAATTTCTCATCCTCCGCGAGGCAGAAATATGACGCCATCCTGGGACATTTTGAATCCATGTCGCGTGCTTGTAGAACATTGGAAATCGAAAAGGATGAATGTCAAATTATGCATTCTGAATGCACTACTAATCGAGTATGGTACCCATAAAACCTGATTTAAAAAGTCACGGCAAAATCATCTGCAGCACACTCACGCACGTGTTTATGTTGTTTGGGCAGAGCAAAATGAAACTGCTCATTTACTGATTGTGAGTTTAGGTTTTTTTGCATATCAGCACTGTTGACGCATCGTTTTAGAATACAGACGCATCATGCAAATAGCCGTACAAAGCCGTACAAAATGTCGAGTTTTCCGTAGGTTTGTGCATAACTATAGATGCGCCATAAAGGTCATAAGTGAGAGCTCTGTAACAAAATCTAGAGTGCGCACTTTGTATTCCACGTACGCAGTACTCGTGTGCCGACGTGATGGACGTACGCGCAGCCGCCATTGCCATTGTGGGCGGAAGTAAGTAGAAGTGCCCGGAAGTGAATATAGAGCACCGAAGTGTCACGTCACTGTGAACCAGGAAGTGCAGTGCAAACGAATGGAGTGCGCGCGCGTGTTGTTTCACGCGCGGGTTCTTGCGCAAATGCCTTTTACACACTAACTGTGCGCGTGACGTCGTTTAAACAGGTTTCGCAGAGACCAGAATGTGCCTTTGTAACGTGTGTCCGCGGTAAGAGTAAACCGGTTCGTATGTGACTTCGTTGAAGGTTGGCGCGCCACGATTTGCAGGCTCCCATTGTACGATCGCTGAAGTTGGGCGTTAACTTTGGGTTCCAGGGTTCCATGTAAACGGCGGTCAATACATGTTCGTACATGTAGGGCCTAATACTATAGTATTATACTATATATATAGTATTATACTATAGTATGCACGTGCGCACATGCACTTCACATAGGTGAAGTGCATGTGCGCACGTGCATACGCGGGCGTGGTTTGAACTGAAGTGACGTCACACCAACGAACCGGATACGAACACGGCACGCACGCGCACGCCTGGTATAATTGAATAATACCCACGGTGGCAACGGCGGTCGTTGCTTGTTAACAGGTCCCGCACGTGAAATTTGTCGACCCAGTACGCGTTTGGAAAGGGTCGACTCATTTGGCGCGTTATGATTGGCCAACGTACTGCAAACTCTTGGTGGCGCACTATTGTGAATCGCCCGTATTGTAGCGTATAATTCGTGGTGCGTGTGTGTATGTCGAGGTCACGAGCCGGATACAGTCGAGGTTGGCTAATCAAACGCACGTACCGCATTTTTTGGACTTCAAATTTTCGAGACGCACATCGGCCGGCAGCACTCATTGATCATGATCTCGATGAAGATCAATAGCACACCTATTATTTTGAAGATAATTTTACTTGGATCAACGCTCGTATGCATAGAACTTTTGCAAACATTATACGGGAGCACACACAGCTAGCTGTTGACCTTGAATAAGTTTGACCTTGAATAAGCAATCCTAATAAATTATTATGCCGCGGCGGAGATGGCATCCAAAGAAGGAAATCTGCTTTTGTCACACAATACAAACTCTTATAATGGATATTAATTCTTTTCCCGTCCCGTCCCGTTTAACTCGACAACATATAAACAACTAAGGAAGTGGACTCTCGTAAACGCATAGCTTGTGGGGAACAGGACCCAAGACAACATATATGATAAATATCAGTGTGAATTAATAAACCATTGAAAACAAACATAGATAGAGTGATGTGTACAAAGATTATTTGTTAATTGAGTAGTTTCATGGATAACTTGGGGCAGATTCATTTGAGATTTTCAGACAAGAGATCTGAAATTGCCTAATTGCATCCGGCAATTTCAAATCTCTTGTTTGAAAATGAGTAGCTCTTAATTTCTGAGTCTGAAGAGCTAACTTTAAAAAAAATACTGGGTGGTGATGTACAAGCTGGCTGCGTACGAGTTGACTGGTTTCCACAAATGATTTCCTCTCTTGCAAAATATGACAAAGGAGTGTGAGCCGCTGAGACAACTGCATGTAAATGCATTTCACTATCATAATGAAGGTGACGAAGTTCAATTTATGAATAATTTATTTCCAAACTCCATGACCTTAAAATGCTGCGCATGTGCATGTTTACTTGTTCCGTTGCAAACGCTGAACTGGGTCAAATCACAGGTCTGCAGGTTGTTGGGTATGGTGGCGTCACTGTGTGTGTGTACATGTACATGTACGTATACACACGACGTGTAGTACATGTACAGTACATGCACATGTACATGTATGTACGTGTACATGTACACTGTACATGTACATGTACGTACGTAGTACAACTCTCGAAATCATAATTCTTTGGCCTGGCGACCGAGCGGAGTGTTATCTGCTGTCTTTTGGATGGGGTCAAAAGTCAAGTATTACTTGAGATAATAGTGTCAATGAAGTGTCAATTACCTGAATGGAGCAGCTCTCGACAGCCAAGAACTTGCAGCATACCATCCAAGTTTAACTTCAATTTGTGATGTATGTTGGCCACGGAAAGGCCCAACGTTAAGATCAGTCGTAAGAATGGCGCACAAGATGGTCGGCAAACGGCTGAGTGACATTGTAGACAACCGCCACCTGCACACGAAGGAACATGAAGATCAACGAAGGAGGAACGACGGGGGTCGTACTAATAGTACACTTGGTGAGCTGCTGTATGTGTTTTATTCCTCCATGGTCATAATGGTTGCTGTCGAGCAAAGCAGGCTAGCAAATAGGTGGGAAGGCCTATAAGTTACTTATTCAGCACTGTTTAGTGTGAATAATTAATACCTTAAAACCTTCGTGGTGGGCCAAGGCCCACATATAACTTCATGAACTTATAACTTAAGGAAAGAGTTCCAATACAGACAGCACTTGATTTTGCTGCCCCTGTGCACAAACCAATGTCTGAAAAATCTAAGTGTTTTCTAAGCAGGGGCCTAACTGCTTTTCGATTTTCTCAGCTACATTTCACTTTTTGGGACATGTTATCATTTCTGATGGCTTAATGTTATGACATTTTAAGGGAAAATTAGTCAGGTCAGTGTTGCCTCTTTCCTAGGAGGCCTGAGGGAGCAGGGCCTTTGGTTTAGACCAGTTTTGGGGCTAGCATTCTTTCTATTCATGCTAGTGCTAGACATCAACAGACAAATGACAGATAAATGCCAATTGTGCTACTTACTACTACTACATGAAGCCTACCCCCAGAACCGTGGGATCCATCGTCCACCCTGCTCCCATGAACTGGGAGCGGGGTGGACGTCGGACCGCATGGTTCTAGGAATAACTACCGGTACATGTAAGTAAGCAGTACTACTTACATGTACATGTAACTACTTAAGGGTTGAGGGGCATAAGTGATAGGTTATAACTTGAGTATTAAGCTTAGCTACATGTATACACCCATATATAGTCCACTGGTATGTCAAATTCTTTGAAGGCGCCGATAGATTTGGCATGGCATGTACTAATAATAGAAAAAAATACAAAGTAAGAGACACCAGTAATTATTCTCTACAGTGATCTACACATGTATGAACCTTCAGAAAGCAAAAACGTTCAGAAAAATTCAATTTAGGAGGGAAAATACCAAGTCGTTTAGTTAGAAAACAAAGAAATTTTCAGACTAGTCTCGAAGGTTTTATGCTATTTTCATAGTCCACAAATATATTCGCCCAACTTGACGAACAATTCCTCACTTTGACAGTCTGCTTCCTCCTTGTACATGTAAGAAAGGCCTTAATCATATTAACCCAATTCAATACATGTACATGTACTTGACCTTGAATTCCTTAAGTGTGGAGTTTAGTAAGTACATGTACATGTATGTACACTGTACATGTATGTAATCAATGTTCAGGTACCGAATCAAAAGCTTTTTCATAGTCCACAAATATATGATCAATCCATTTGGTTACATCTTCCATAAATTCGAGAAGATTTGTCAAACAGGACTTACATGTACATGTACCGGTATGCTTAACAAAACCATGTTGTTCTGGTGCCATCAAGCAGTTCTTCTCCACATGCATCACCAGCTCATCTCTAATCAGAGATGCAAGAACTGTATAAGGTACACTTGTTAACTGACAGGCTGATAATTCTCTGCTCTTGTTTTTGAATCCTTAGTGGGCAAATCCTCGCCTCCTTACAATCTTGTGGAATGCACTTTTCCTCCATGGATTTTTCAACAGTTATCTTTAGAGGCATCACTAACTGCTCTGCATGTTCCTTCAACATCCTAGGATGTACATGTACATGTATGCCATCTAATCCTGGACACTTGTCACAATCTAGATTCCTCAACTTTTCAACAATGTTCATCTCAGGAAGCTCTACATGTATGTCACATAATTCATGTAATTCAGCAGCATGTAGCTTTAGTTACTCTCTTATTGTGGGCAATTCACCTTCAGGCTCATTTATAAAAACTGACTTAAATCATTTAACTCTTCAGCAGTTTCTTTATCGGTATAATTACTGCATGAGCCATCTTCCATAATTTTCAACCTGGGGATTCCAACTTTAACCCTCTGCCTTGATCTAATATAGCTTTGAAACTTCTTTGGGCATACTCAGCTTTTGCATATCTTACTAATTTCCTTGTAGCATATCTTTGTCTTTTGTACTCAACATAATCTGAGTGCAGTTAGCTTTTCCTGAACCGTTGATACAAATGTAATTTTGTCTCTACAGATCTTCAGACCCTTGTTTTCAAACCATGCCGAATGAAGATTTTTTATCCTCTTTCTCTTTGGTACATATTCTTCAACTGCCTGATGGTATTTCTCCCTGCAGAAATACAGTACCATGCCCCGTTATAGGGTGGTCAGAGCTGCCTACCAGTACAGTTTTATCGTATTCCGTATGATTTATCAGTGACAATACGACACTACGAGTTTTCTCAATAATATACGATTTACAATAAAAAAAGCTTTGTAGTTATTTTTAGATTTTTACCTATCATTTGGCTTGAAAACTGACATTTTTCATGAGTTGATTTCGTGCGGTAACATCAGTCGTCGGCGATGTCTGAAATGCCATGCAAATAACACCCATGAGGCGGTGTCCATCCATGAGGCCCTCTATTGTCCGTTGCTGCTTCATTTGTGTAGTTTGTCTGTGTACCGTACGTAAACTATGGATGTAAGTACATTGTAAAATCAGTCTGGGGCCCACACTATGCATCGCATTCGCTCGATTGTTTGCATACGAATCAAGCTCCAAGTTACGTGACAGTGAAGAATAGGATTTTAAGGTAAAATTATAGGATTTTTGATCAGGTGAGGTTGGCAGCTCTGGGCTGTGCCGAATATCTGAATATTCGATCTATTATCGAATATTTGAATATTATTTTGCAGTGCAGAGTGTGCCAACAAACATCCGGTCTCACTATTACACAGCACTTTTGTGCGCTGCCGGATACTCTAAGTGTAAGCGTCTTCATCCTGTGGAAAGCATCATTTGATGTACGGCATAAGGAACTTGAACAGCATGTCATCTTTGAACTTGGAACACTGCATCCAGATGGAATGAACATGGAGTTCTCTGCTTTCTTTCAGAACTGAACCAGCTTGCTTCATACATGTACCTGGTACACAGTTACCGAAAGCTTGGCAATAAAGATACATTTAGAGCACTGACTGTACAGTGTGTATATTTTTGTTAATATTCTAGAATTGATTATGTGTTACTCTCTTTGTGCCTTGTTCTTATCATACATGTACATGTATGCTGTACTAAGAAGAGATCGAAATTGCACAATATCCAATGCTATGGAAAGGGGTCAATATCTCTAGCCACTGGCATGACTGACCCCTTTAGACTTTGTGCACAAAGTCAGCTGGTCAAAGGCAATGACAGAAAAAGTCTTTGTGTTTTGAAAGAAAACTTTGAAGTTTTTCCTTTTCTTTGAAAGAAGAATGATTTTTGCATCCTGGCTCCACTTGAGGGGTTGCTTACAAAGTCTATGGGGAGTTAAGAAACGTTTCTTAACAAAATTGGAAATTTTGGGAAGAGTTCCATATACAGACATCACTTGTTTTCCCTACAGTGGTACATGTATGTCAGTCATCACAGGATGATAATTTTTCCTGAAGAGTCAAGTTTAGCAGGGTAAATATTGAAGCATTACCTTTAAAAATAGGCCTACATGTACATGTAGTTAGAATCGTCCAGTCCAGTCTTCTGGGGTTTGTGGACAGAGTGTTACATGTAAATGATACCCATGTTTGGAACCCTTTCTTAAATGTTTCTCAGTCCTACCTGTATGTTTTGTCAGCATTTCTGCTACATGGCTGACTGTTATTGAGATGATACCGGTACATGTAGGCTACTGGTATCATGAAAACAAAATTGGAGGCAAGATGTAACATTCTCTGCCATTTCTTCCTCAGATTAACAATTTTTAGTAGGCCTACTGTAGTTTTCAAGTCATATTAAGGAAGACAAGAGTTTGCTGGATACGGAACTCTTCCGGTATACATGTACCGGTGTTGACACCTGAACTATGCCCAGACATTAATTAGTGTTAGGGCACTTCAGGGAAAGAACTCTGTATTGGACCATCACTAGGGTGATAACAATTTGTCAGTCTCAAAATTTGTCCCAGCTTTGAGAGACCTGTATCTGTAGGCCCAACTCATGCACCAGGCCTGCATGTACATGTACATGTAATGATGACAACTTACCGGTACATGACTTCTCAAAATCAAACCCATTTTCCCTGTCCCTACCGATAGTTTGGTACATGTAGGTACTGAACCCTGTTCCTCAGCTTTTTCTCTAAAATACCCCTGATAGCAGGTGACCATCTTTTAAACTTTGTGTTTGCAACACTCAAACATTGCGATTGTCTAGTATGGAATGCTTTTCATCAGTTGACCATCATCCAACCCGTACATTTGAAAGAAAAAACTGGCACAAAAAAACAATACTGGCAGGTTTTACCCACCTGCCTAACTTATCTTTTCCAAATTCCAGCGCATTTTCTATTACCAGGATTTCAAGTGTATTTGTTGCTTTGCCTTGCTGTGGAGGAACGAAATGACCTTACTCTTAAAATTGGAAACTGTCAAAACTGTCTGGAAGCATTATGACATGCACATGTACATGTACGTGCACATGTACGTGCACATATACGTGCACATGTACATGTATCAGTGTGTACTGGTACATGTACATGTTACCTGATCCAAGTTTACATGGACATGTAATGTACATAACTTACAATACGTGGGATAAAAGTTGGAGTGTTGTAACCTCCTGCCTACATGTACATTTATACATGACATATAGAAAAATTGCCTAGGGCTGAGTCAGTTTGAATAATTCACTAGTCGAATGTTTGACCTTCAATTCGATCGAATATCTGAACATTTGGTCGTACCAGTACCAACCGGCAGACTGTGGATGAACAAACCATACTCAAAATCAGTTGCAATAACATACATGTACATGTACATAATTATAATCAGCTTCTCATGTCTAGGAGTATCTCCAGCCATGATTTAGCACAATTTACGGTACATGTAAGAGACAAACAATGCATGTACTTCTTGTCCCATTGAAACTTTCTATTCCTTTTAAATTTTTTCATAAATAATTTACTTTTAATCATTTTTCATTTGATTCTGCTTGAAACAAGCCTCCATAGTGCAATTT